TTGCACCGCGACCTCCAGTCGTTGACGCCGCCTCAGTCGCCGGCGTCTCTCAAGCTGCGTAGCTTTGCCGTCGATCGCGAAGCCTGGAAGAAAATTACGGAGCTTGTCGTCATGGGCCTCACCAAGCGCGCTCGGGTGACTACAGAAGAACAAGACGCACCCCGCGTCGCCGCCTGCGCACGACCCAGTGAGCGCATGACGAAGAAGGAAGAGCTTGCTAGTCTCTACATACAACGAAGATAACGCGAAGCACGTTCATATTTTGAAGGCCAAGGAGACCAAGGTAATACTACCTGCTCGAAGGCGAGCTAGTACGACGGACGTATGTGTTGAAAAGGGGCGGAACCCCGCGGTGAGGAAGGGGCCCGACTTACCCGAAGAGGATGAGGTAGATTAGTGGTTAATGGGCAAGTGAGGAGCCGACTGGCTCCGTTGGCTAGGCTATCGTTCTAGATATGACGGCTCTAGCTACCGGTACTGTTCTACTGTTCTACGCTGGAGAGACGCTGGCTAACACTATCTACGTGTCGAGACTATGCTTCAACAGTATAAGGAATGTCTTGCTGTTCGGTTCTTGCCGTCTTGACCTTGTCAGAAATATTTCCTTTTGGGATGATTCGTGCCCCCTTAATGCAGCATAGTCTGCTACCCACTCGGAGCCGAACAGGCCCAACAGCAATCCGGTACTGATCATCTCAAACGCTGCATCGCACGCGAGCAAACACTGTTTTGAAAACGAAGAAAATCGTCTACTAGAGTAAAGGACTAGGTATTTACGAGGGCGGGACGACCTTGTTGCGGCCCTCGAGCTTGGGGCAGACGCTGTCGTTGTTCTTCTTGATGAACGCTTCCAAGATGGCTTCGATGCGCGTCGCCTCGTTCGGGTCAACGATCCACTTGGCCTTGCCGCCCGCCTGGTCAAAGAGACCCTTCATGTACGTCGAGAGCGCGAGGTTGAGCTTGTCGTCGTCCTTGACGTCGCCCGTGCGCGACTTGCCGTCCCACTTGAGGCTCGTGATCGCGCCCGCAGCCGCGCCGCTGCACGTGAACGTCCACGTCATGCCGGCCATGTGGAAGTAGTGGCCGTTCTCGGCCAACATCCCGGGTTTGCACGAGTCGATCATCTTGAAGCTCATAAACTTCTTGAAGCTCGCGCCGTCCGTGCTGATGACGACGATCGAGTCACCGAACGGCGACCACGAGATGAGGTCGCCGAGCGAGAGGTCGGCCGCGGGCCAGAGCTTGTCGGTGCGGATACCACCGCCGTTCATGACCGCAGCATCGACCGTCGCCTTGGTGTAGTAGACCTGGAACGCGTCGGCGAAAAAGTTGCCGATCGGCGCTTCGCTGAACCGCACGAGGTTCTTGCGCAGGTCCGTTTCGGCGCAGAGCGAGCCGACCTTGCGCTTGAAGAGGCCACTGATCTTGTCGTCGTACGTCTTGATGATGGCCTCGAAATCGGGATCGACCGGCATGCCGCTCGTGATCTGGAGGTTCTTGTGGCTCATCTTGGTGAACGGCGTCGTCGCCTTGTTACTGGTGTCGCGGCCCGGGCCATAGTACTTGATGTCCGAGATCCAAATGCTGCGAAAGTTGAGGTCCGACTTGAGGTACGTCGTGCCAAAGTTGGACTGGAGCATCGCCGCGTGGTCGTGGCCGCCGTAGATCATATCGATGCCCTTGACCTGCTGCGAGAAGCGGTTGTCGTCGTCCAGAAACTGGTGCGTGAGCGCAATGACCATGTCGACCTTCTCGACCTCGCGGAGGTACTTGACAGCTTCCTTGGACGCCGCAAACGGGTCGGTCCAGTACATGCCCTTGGACGTATCCTGCATGTCGTACATGACGCCGAACGCACCGACCTTCATCTTGCCCATCGTCGCCGAGTTGAACTCCTTAGTCGCGTACTTTTGCGTGCCGCGGAG